ATTTTTCTTCTTAAACTAACAAATCCCAAGGTAATTTATAGCATAGACTTATGCCGAGGTAGTTTGGTGTCTGATGCTGTAACGCATCATAATCAGTGTATAATCATCACTTTAAAAGTTATGTACGTTTTTTGTGCCTATTTATTTCCCAGATATATTAGTGTGTGTGTGAATGGGTGAATAAGGTGCATTCACCTAAAGCACTTTGTAGAAAGGCGCTTTATAGAGTTCAGTCCATTTTATTTTATTAGTTTACGGGCAGTTCTGCCACATCCAAGATGGCGGACTCGTTGACGTATCGCTGCAACGGACGAACAACGGTACGGAGCTACCGGGGCCGGAGGGGGCCTACTGGTAAGGGGCTACCGAGCCGAGGTCCGGGACCCCCCTCCTCTATTGCTCTCTTCTGAAATTAAATACATTATTGCCCACAACTGATCAGTTGTGACAGATCGCTATCAATAGGATTCAGTTTAAAGACTTCAGATCATTAATGCACAAATGAAAAAAAATTGTTGACAAAATCCCTCCGATTTATTGGGTTAGGTCCCATCTTCTCTAATCTCCCTCAAATAAAAATTCACTATGAAGAAATTTGATTGTCGTGTTTTGTTTATTTTTTATGACTGTATCACTAATTAAATGTTTCTCAAAATAATGGATTTTCTGAAATCTAAACACTGATTCTCCCAAATTCTTTGCCATTGTGTATTGCCATGACTACATGCCAACATCCTTAAGCAAAAATGAAAGGAATGTGAATGTTATGTTCCTGTATCTGAGTACATGTTAAGCTAAGTACTCTGAAAAACTAGTTTTGTCTGCATAGAGGAGGAGGAAAGCATCCTCTGCAGAAGCAGAAGTGGAGTAGGTTATCTCCATTTTTACCTTCCCTTCCCTTCTCTTTTAGGCTCGGTGAAATCTCAAGGGGGGGCATCATGAAGAAACTTTCATCCTTCTCCCACACACAGCAGTATTAGCAAAACCATGACAACGAACATTCCTATCAGCGCAAAGTGTTAGCCACACTTATCAATTGAAAGCATTTTAATCGAAAATAGAAAGTGACCCTCTGATGTGTTTTTTAATTTGTGAACCTGAAGCTCTTCTAAAAATAAATTATAAGCAAACGAAAATGACCTTTTTGTTTTTGTCTTTTCATGTGATTATATCACGTGAATAGTTGCGAATATCATACTTATCTTTCTCCATTATATACTTGACAACAGTCTTTTTTGTTTTTAAATTTAGCACAACAGATATCTAATTTAACAAGATGAGTTCTAATGACAGTCATATGATTCAACTTACAGTGCGTGTTTACTGCATTCATTTTCTGTATTCAGTTTAGTCCATTTAAAAGCAGTTTGGTCCCTGTCAAATCGTATTTTTTGATGGTCAAAACAGTCAACCTGAATTTCCCTTGGCACTTTATTTGATTGGAGTTTCAGTTTCCAAATATTTTCATTGTTTTATGTAGTATGTTTAATTAGACCCAAACTAAACAAAAGAAAGAATTTTCACATCACCCACTTATGATACTAGTTTTTAAACTGTGGGACATTTGCTGGGGAGAGTACAAATATAGTCAGCTCATCTGAATAAGGAACTAAGTATATAGGCTGAAAAAACAAACAATGAAAGTGTTGAGGATGAGAGAACTTTATTTAAGCTTTTATTCAATTAATATCAACTGTAAGAACGTGAAAGAGTAAGGAGTTAATGGTCTATGGAAGGCACAAAATGCAAAGACAAACAGAGGGATAATTCTGTTAAACACCAGCAGCATCATCCAATCTAAGTCAGACAATTCATATCAAACGTGTGCTTTTAACTTTGTTGAAATGGGCACCATGTTATTGCACTTATCATGAGGCGCAATTTTTTCACAGTTGGAGTTAAACATAGTTAGGACTGCATTTTTGTTATTTTTAATGTGCATTCAAGTATGCGGCGTGTGCTAAAAGCAGCCTTCCCCACCTCTTCCATTTGTTTTATCTTTAAACATTATTGAAAAATCTTACATTTATCCAAGGGTGCAGAAAGAAGTCTGCAGATCAAACTCTGAAGGACAATCTTAGACCTTCTCTGGCATCCGAGTGGGGAAAACATGTTGAATCTGCCGGCTATATCCCCTTTTCTCTGTTTCCATGGTTACTGTGTTTTGAATCCTCCGGCGACAAAGAAAGCGTTATTTACAGCGGAATAATGTAAATCAGCAACATCCATTCATCCTGTGTGTGTGTTACATTTTGTGGTTTGAAGGAGAACAAGAGAGCAGCAGAAAGCAGCACATGTAGCCTTAGTACATCAGGACTTTCAACAGTAGGAAGTTAGATATTGTAAGTTATGAGTCATAGCATCCCAAATGTCTGCTACACCAGCACTTATCACAGATAGGCACGACGAATAGGAACAGCTTGCGTAGGTTTGACTGGAAGTGAAACAAGTAATGAACCACACAATCAGTAAAAGCAAGTCACTGTAAAGCCCAGCAAGAGCGATTCGTTTATGATTCTTAAAAATGGAGAAAAAAAAGAAAAGATCATAGCCGCATTACTTTGGTGCCAAGACATCCAGTTTATCAGCTCCAATGTCGATCACACAGCCATCCAAACAATTCCACAAGCAAACACAGGCACACGCACATTTAAAGACAGAAAGAAAAAAGAGCTAACTTCGGCTTCCACCGTTAGTTTGAATGGTTGCGTCAGATTGAAGACGGGTCCTTTCCTCAGTATTCCCAGAGGGTGGCAGTGTCCAGAGAGTCCGCGCTGGCCTTCAGCCCCCCTGCGTGGTCCCCCTTCAGATACTTGCCCCCGACGGCACGCATGGCCATTTTGTTGCGGTCGCAGAACTCCAGCTGGAACTGGACAGGAGTGGAGCTGCTGCACACGATCGCAGTGTCGTCGCCAACACACCAGTACTTCCCCTGGGAGTCTGGACCAAGAGCACACTTAATGAGGCCTTTACAGGACGGCAATTACAGACAGGTCGAAATCGGTTTCTGTGCGATGACGATATCATGTATTATGTTTACATGCTTCACATGGTTGAAGTCATTGGCATCTAAATACCAATATCTTGTCACGGAGACATCTTTTCTTGGATAATACGTCCAGACGACGTTCCCCTTTGCAGCAGTGAACTCATCACAACATGGATTTACACATGTTTTTTTTTTTCTCAATCAACGTTAAGCTTTCATTAAAGAGTTCATGACAAAGCAACCACTATCAATAAGCAAAAAGTACCGAAGTGTACATACTTTAAAATGTAGTTTAAGTTACTTTAGCTTTGTTTTAAAACTCACCGTCAATGGCTTGTAAGATTAAGCTGGAGTTAAACCTTAAAAGATCTGAATTTGATTTAGTTTTTTAACTCACCTTTGATGGAATAAGCACCATTATGGAACTCCAACTGGAAAACATCGTAGGATGCTCTATTGGAATCAAGAGTTGGTTGTCCAGATTTCCGAGCCCCAATGAAACCATGCTCCCCACGGAGGACGATGATTGGACGGTTAATGAGCTTCATCAGGAACTGCTCGGCCTCCCCTTATAAGAAGTGCTGATTACGTTTCCATAAAATCATCCACGCTGTTCAATTTTGACCCACATTCCACAACAGCTCTACTAAACTGGATCATTAGGTCCAAATGAATATACAGTTAATATAAAGTAATGTTTAAAAAAGAAAGTACACATGAATTCAAACTAAAGTTTCACTTATCAGGACATTGAGAAAAGAAACAAAATCAGAAATCACAAAGGTAAAACATTAATGACAGGTACAGACAGCACATTTCTAAGAGAAACTAGAGAAATTCCAATTCATTGAACACATCCATGATCCCAAACACCGCTACAACACAAAGTCAAAAATGAACCAAAGTGTTGCAATGACCCATTTTCCAGGCCTAAATCTGACTGAGACGCTGTGATGAGTCTTAAGCATGTTCTAGGACCAAACCATGTCCACAATTAACTCAAAATTGGTGGTTGTATTTGCTACCGAAGCATGTGGTTTCATTTTTCTGTTTTTCAAGAACCGTTTCTGCATTTCGGCTTAGTTTTCTTAAAAAACGTATCAAACTGTGCAACGTGTTGTTTGATGCAGTATTTACTGTAAGGAGATTGTAAGATCAATTTGTATCTTATGACAACGTTGTAAAACCTTACATTTGGAAATGGTTCTACTTTCTTCCTTTACATTTGATAGCTTCAGGCACAGAATGAGTGGTGAACATCTTTAAGCTACAGCCAGCTTGACTGACCTGCGTTGTCCAGAGTGGCCGCCAGCTGCCCGTTCTTCTTGGCGGTCACATACTTGCTGTTGGCTGCGCGCAGACACACGCGACCATCACGCCACTCCAGATCAAAGTAACTGTTATCGGACCTGAACAAAAAAGAGTTCATCAGCAGACCATTTGGGGGTTAGACCAGCCACACCGTTCGGAGTGTGTCTTGTGTGTGTGTGCGCTTACTTGGTGGAGGCGGTGCACTGCAGTCCTCCGGCCGCCGTCAGGGTCCAGTACTTTCCGGCAGCAGTTCTGAAAGCGCACTTCCTGTCCTCACGACTCATCTCCAGCTGAAAGACTTCTTGGTCTCCTTCTTCATCCTGGTTAGCTGACAAATCGATTCCTGGAAAGGGAGGCAGCATGTGTCGGGCTTTTAATCGTTTCTGAAGATCTGAAACCTTCTCACCACTTTAATCATTGAGGTTACACCTGAAAGACCATGAACGGAAAGAAACAGGGCATCCCAGGCTGGAAGCTCGCAGAGGAATAGAGGCGCAGCTCTTTTGTGGCCTAGTTATTCCTCAGTGATTTGCTTTTGATAGACTTTTGAAGTGGAAAAATTGAAGTGGTAGAAAGAAAATATAGAGGATTCCGTGCACTTCTGCACCAGATATCCACAGAGAAGTAAAACCTGATCACACACGTCTGCCTCACATTCCCCCAAAGGAACACTTCATATCTATGTGATGTTGCACCTAACCAATAAGAGAACCAGCTGGAGGGATTGATTCAGCCAAAAGAGACAATTTGTACTTAAGTGGTGGGAATGGCTTTTAAAACCAACAGTTGATACATTCTCATACATTGGCACCCTCTCCCTGGACACCAACACTAATTGTACATAGGTATTGCAGCCATCAGGAAGGATCTCTTGTATGTGATCCTTTTTGCAGGAAAGATGAGGAAGCCTCTGACTGAAGACACTGGTCTTGATCATTGAATTGGGTGTGTGTATGTTTTTTTTCCAACAAACCCAACAGCGGTCAACTCTATGGGTATAGAAGAATGTTCAAGGTTTTAATAAATACTCTTCAGTGCAATAGTAAAACTGTGCTACTGACCCAACACAAGGATCAGAGCCTGCATGGTATGTTGCCAGATATAACCCCTGACCTAATTGATAGCTATAAAGTCCTTTCAGCTCCCACGTGGACTAGATTCTCTCTCTTTTATGATAAAAGCAGAACTTTGTTAGGCATGTTAGGGCAATGGGTTAATCTAAATTGACTTTGTGGGCAACAGAGAGCCTGTCTTGTTCGTCACTGTGTAGCCCTGTGCTGAACAGGGACCTGTCTAGGGTGTACACAGTCAGGATAGGCACCAGCACCCTGCAACACAATTTGGAATAAACAGGAGGACAGAGTATAGGTGGATGTGTGGTTGATCTATACCATACTGGAGCAGGCACTTTGACAAGAATAATTCTGTGTCTTTGTATATGTGTCCCAGAAAAAGATGCTGAAAACCCTGGTGGATATTTTTAGACCGAGTATAATGATGTAGATTAAGTATCAGCCTCCTGCTCTCAATTTTTTTTAAAGAGGCTTTACTCAAATCATGAGGAACTTACCATATCTTAACTGATTATCTGTTATTTTAAAGGTCTTCTGTATAGGATTTTCTGCCACTGGAAAGGTATGATGTTGCAAATCATTTACAGTAATCATGTTTTTTATTCTGTTAAAAACATCTTAATGTGAGGAATCAGTTCTTATTATAAATAGAGGAATTAACTCATACATTCAGACATTAAAATAAGGTTATTTGTTTTATTAATGCCACATGTCTTGGTGTGTGAAAAAAAACTCAGAGCAGGTCACAAGGTACTGACCTCATTCCTCAATTTATCTCTTCTGGAATGCTAACTCTTTCTCTCCGTCTCCCCCCTTCTGACATACAGAGTTCAGAAAACATCAAGCCATACTGACTTTGTGGTTTATTCTCTGCTAGGAATGATCCGCTTCATGTGCATGGGAGCAGAATCTGGCAGAGACTTGGTGGCGACAAAGAAAAAATGGCTGCATGAGGCATGAAAAATCCACGTTCTGCAGCCAGTCTCCATCACATCTCATTCTTTGCGGCCTCCGTTTTTTTTTCTATTTGCCTCTCCTCTTTTTTATCCCTTGGTCTCGAAAAGAAATCTGCCCTAAATTGTAATCTATTCTGAGATAAAAGAATGGCAGATGTGTGGATTAAAGCTGACCCTGGACAAGCGACCACAATGGAGTGATATAATTACTGCAGGGGAAAAAAACTACAGACTGGACAAAAGGACGGAGGGGGGTTTGGGGGGGCAACAGAGAGCATCATAATGAAAAACACATGGCCTGGAGAGAAATAGAGAAACCGGAGCCTCTGATTCTGTCCCACATTCCATCTCACACATCAAGTCATGCAACAGCTGCGTTTGGTATGCAGTGACTTTATCAAATTGGTAATATGGGAACCCCCCCCCCCCCCCCCCCCCCCACCACACCACACCCCCACCACCTCCCATTCCCTGCAAGTCTGCTGCGGCTGCAGGACCCCACCTTGCCTCGTGGAGACGTTCCTCTCGTTGCCCGCGGTCAGCACGACCTGCGCGTGGCTGCGCTCCAGGCCGAACAGCTCGTCCTTCCCCACCCGGCCGCTCCTGCCGGACTTCATGGTGCCGGTGGGCCCCGCGGGGGCCAGGTAGCGGCCGTTGCAGTCGCGGAAGGCCACCTTCCCGGAGCGGAACTCCAGCACGTAGCCCGTGTCCGCGTCCGTCTCGGTGGCCAGGGTGCCGTCGTTGCGCACGAAGCGGTTATCGCGCGTCTCCAGGTGGTAGCGCCGGTCCCGGTAGACCAGGGTCACCAGGGAGTCCACCCCCCACGGCACGTCCCGGTCTATGGACACCTCGTGCGCGCTCAGGTGCGCGAAGCGCTTGCGCGCCAGGCTGTACAGGCTGACCTGCGGGTGCACGGCCAGGTGGACGCTCCATCTCTCGGCGGGCGAGGCGCTCTGCGCGAAGCAGCTGATCCGGTCCTCGCTCCCGCCCAGGAAGCGGCCGTGGGCCTCGGACTGCAGGGACCACCGGCCGTCCTCGTGCACCGTCAGGGCGAAGCGGCACTCGCGGCCGCGCGCCTCGCTGTCCGCCGTCACCTTGCCGTCTTTGTCCGCGGCGAGGTAGCGGCCCAGGTGGGAGCGGAGGAAGACGGCGCTGCCGTCCTCCCCGGTCTGCTCCAGGGTCCACGTCTGCTTCTTCTTCAGGCTGCCCGCCGAGGCGTTGATCTTGAAGCCGAACGCCTCCGCCGTCAGATACTTCCCCGCGCTGTTGATGAGCCCCAGAGGGATCTGCAGCAGGTCCCCGTCCGCACCGTTCGAGGACATGATGGGTTTTTTTTGTGACAGGTCAATAGAGAGATGCTGGGCTTAATGGGAGGATCGGGCAGAAAGAGAGAAAGAGAGAGAGGGGGGGAGGAGAAAAAGGGAGTGACAGAATGACAGCTGATCTTCTCTGGATAGATGATGGTGATGGTGATGAAGAGTATCCCCTGACTGAAAATCCACTCTGCCGTGCTGGAGCTGCAGGACTGATTTTTTTTTCTCAAATTTTTTTAAGGACAGAACACGCCCCAATAAAAAAAAAGCAGAGGAGTTGCAGGGAGAAGGCTGCAGTTTTAGGAAACCATCCCACCCAATGGCTGCCACTATCAGTTCACCAATGCATATTCATTATTTAAACCAACAGTAATGACTCTTTTTTCACCTTTCTCAATTAAAGTTTGTCAAGCAGATCATTCTAGTAAGTTATTCCACAGCCGTGTGTTTAAGGTTGAATTCTTTGGCTGTGGTCCATCCTGTGAAAGTTTAATGTTATACCAAACCCATCTATGTGTGTCACATGTTAAAAACACATGTTTTCAGTTAAACGGCGCTCCCAAAACAAAGACTGCTTTTCCCTCAATACAGTCGAACATTTTCAAGACCAGTTGTAATAAACTAATTGAAATACACCCCGAGATCTCCTGTCAACTGTTCTGACTCAGGGGGCTTTTCTTTTAGCCCTTCTCATTTGCTTCAGCTGCTCCTGGTTGACGTCTTTTCCTGGCAACACATGTTGAGAGGTTGTGGCAGTTGTTACAGCCTCCCTGAGCGCCCACCCCTTTTTCAGAAATGGAAAAAATATAATAAACGTAGTGGTCCACATTCATCAATACTGACACATTCATTAAAAGCGGTGGTTTTGAGAGGATGTCTGACCTTATTGGTCTGTTATTCCACTTTTAAACCTCTGCTGTCTGCTAGCTGACTCAAATCTTAATTCCAGGTGGATCATGTACAGCAGAAATATATCTACATGTAATCAAAATCCTAGTATGTGTGACTGAGAAATTGCAGAACTACACAGTGATGTATGCTTCTCTACTTTGAGCTGGCACAAAATTGAACATGGATTGGAATTGGTCCCTAGAGGAAAATGAGTGATATGTGAGTTGAGCTGGGTTGGACCTGACCTGTTGTAAAATCTGCATCTGGTGCATGTAGATCTTTGAACAATAAAGTTTGAGCTGATCTACAGAGTTAGATCCACTTCAGAAGATACAGCCCCCATCTGGAGAGTCAAATGAAAGAGGTACAGTTCAGGATTTAATTGTTACACCAAAAGGACTAATGAGGTAGTCATCTCATTAGAGAACTGAGTGAAGCGTTGTCTGCCATAGTCACTTATTTCTTCTTTGTAGTTGTGCACATTTCTAGGTCAAGTTAATGTCCATACTGGGATTATTGTGACAGGACTTGGCTCAACAAATGATACATCTGTTACTGTTAAGAAATGCCTGCCAAATCTTTCAGCTGTAGATAAAATCTACTGTAAATCATTATTGATGGATTTGTTATTTAACAATTAAAAAAAAAAATGTATTCACATGTTTGCAGATTTAGGTCAAATGCGGTGACAGCTATCCATATCAAGATATCCGCTTCAGAGGAATAAATTAATGAAGATTTTGGTGGTCATAGCTGTGTTGGGATACCCACAGATTACCGTCCGACCTCTGCTGATTTGAACTTTAAATGTAGTTAGTCACACAGGAATACATGAACATCACCCAAAATCAATTCAAAAGCAAAACAAGGATTTCTCACCCACTTAACTCTGTTTTTTCCCCACATAAAATATTATGATGGATAGGTCAAATAAATCACAGAGTTAGACTAAAAGACATCAGTGGTTTACATAGAAATGATGTATTTTTTTGTTTTTGAAGAAACCAATCTTGGAATGTTTCTCTGGTGTAATAATACCTTTGACGACCTATTATGAAATCCAAACAATTCGTTTTGTTCCCAAAACCCAGAATAGTAAAGCTGGCAGTGTTGTACATGGCAGCATCACACATTAAGAAAACAGCCTTGTGTGTGCACTGGGTTTCTTTTCCAGGAACAAAAGTAAGATGATCATGGTGCAGCCCTGGGGGTCCACCAGCTGCATAAACAGTGTGTCAGAAAATATGAAACGGAAAAAACAAAATTGTGGGTTTGAGGATTGTGGGTTTTCCAAAGGGTTTGTGAAAAGGACAAAGACGGAAGCTCTCATTTTCATTATTTCCTTGTCCTGCTCAACAGCAAATCATAGTGTTTTCTCATATTCCTGTTATTTACAATACTTGAAAATATGAAATTTGACTGAACGCTATTGGATATTTTTTTCTGTTCATTTTAAGATCATAAGAAGATCTGCTGTTGTTTGCATAACACAGGAAATATATCAAAAGTTTCCTCCACATTCCCCATTATCGTCTTCTTGTCGCTTTAAGATCCTCCAGTCCAGGAATGGATGACATGAAGCTAAGAGAGACAGGAAAACTTGGATCAGTCTGTTCTAAGCAGGAGGTCGTACATTAACTATCATCTCAGGGAAACTTTGACTATTCCCGGTGTAGATTTTCAGAATTAGTGACATATTCAAATATATATAACTTCCTACTTCATTATTTGACCATATTTTTAAAAATCTAAAATAATCTTTCGTAATACTTATGTTTTTATTTGAGATTTTATACGAGTCAAACATGATTTGGTGTGAATTTGCAGAAATTTACTCTGTTTACATTGTTATTTTGAAAATTTACGCTCAATACTTCCGGTGTGTTCTTTACTTCCACCAGTTAGCTTGACTGCTCAGTAACAGCTGCCTGGTTGCTAGACGACTCAGTCTGCAACACCGATGTGAAACAGTTACTCTCCTCGGAAAGACGACAGCATAAACTCCTTTTAGGAAGCACTTGTTAACAAGCCGTATCGCCGCATAAATAGCGTATTTTTTGGGACGACATTCCCTGTTTTCTGGACTTAAAATGACTTGTAGCATAGCTAGCGTCTCTTTTGTTGCCCCGTGTTCTCACTACTAGCATGAGGGGCAAGCTGGGGGAGCCCTCTGACTTGAGAAAATGAGAGAATTACAAAAGGAAAAAAGCGTGCTTTTCAGCTTGACATAACGTTTGGTTGCCTAAAATGTTTAGTGCCACTGCTAAGATGTCTCTGGAGGCGAGTGATTTCCAAACGGATGAGGAGTGTGAGGAGGTGGTGAGTGCTCTGCTTCGGTTTGATTTATGTAAACAAAACAAAACCAGATTTCCTACATATTCCTATGGTACTGTTTGTTTCTGAGCCACGCACTTAAAGCTAGCAAACATGAAGCTGGTTTATTTATGTGTTAATATTCTAAATACTGAGCTTTGCAACAAAGTTTAGACATTGGCTCATTTGTTGTCATTACTGCTCCTGGTTTAATAGTTTTTTTTACCTTTTTCCACCCACCAAAAAAAAAGACTTGCGCAAAAGTCGAGGAATTTGACATAATCTAATTGAAAATGTGTAAAGTTTATCATCGGACTCTAACCATGGTCTTGATCAGGGTTGGGAATCTGTGATATAAAAACATTTCCAATTCATGTGGGTTTCCTAAAACAATTGCTGCTTTTCTTTGTCCACCCCAGGCCGAGGATGGTTTTTCTCTTCCTTTGGATATTTCAGGAAAGGTAAACAAACACGAATGTATTGTGCTTTTCAGTTTTGGCTGATCTGTTGTTTATTTTAGATTTTTGCACACTGGTAGGTTTGATTTAATGAAAACACATTTCCTCCCTTTTAACACCTCATAGAGAACAAGGAGAAAAAAATCTGCTGGAAAGCCTCCCCTCTCCCCAAGTAAGACCTGCTGATGTGCTGTGTAGCAAGCATTTGCTTACTGTGTAACAAAAAACCCACTTGACAAAATCTTTGTGTATTTGTGAACGTGTAGGGTCTCCATACCTCACCAGTCTGAATATGAACTCCAAGAGAGCAGCACTAGGAGCCTGGAGACTGCCAAGGGCCTCCTTGGGGGACACCAGAGGGGATCCTTGTGGAGAGATTGGCTCAGCTCGGCTCACGTCCCTCAGCAACGGCCACGGTAGGCTCCACATAAACACAGATAAAGCTTCATAGAAAGCATTGCTTCTCAGCAGAAAGGCTGCTGGAAAGCTGTACAACTAAAGTTTAGGGCCCCTTCTCCTTCCAGTTCCTGTTTTTTCATGATTTGGATCATCATCATGTCAGAGTTAAAAAAAAGAAAAGAAAAGAAAAAGACATTCTAATGGGCTTTAAGACTGAAGGACATGTTTAGTGACAAAAAAGTTACTTGTAAAACCCACTGTATGATTGACAGATTTCCGAAGTAAATCTGCATTCGGTTTAATTTCTCTCAACTTTTCTTTACTTTGCCTCTTCAGTTCTCTAGATTTTTAGGGATTTGAGCCAAACTAAACAAAAACTAATCAGGTAAAAATGGCCGTGGGCTTAGTTAAAGGAAAGTAGTCTAAACTCTTACAATATGAGGAAATATGGCGTTACGCACAAGCACACTTATGATTTGTAATGCACTACATTCTACACCCCTATCTTTAAAGTCTTCATGCAGGCAGGGCATTTACTGGAGTGTATTTGGTAAGCTTGTTTAAACTGAGTATTTCCATCCTCCTGTGGTATTATTAGCCAGCTTTTAAAAACACATTCGCAGGAGAGAGCCGATGATGAGGCTTGTGATTGACAACAAAGTGCAGTCATGCGTAGATAAAAAAGATCAAACTAAAAGTCTGACGGATATTTTAAACGTGGCAGAAGCATACAAAGCCTTTGTGTTCTGACTCTGTTTCAGATGTGTCTCAGACGCTGAGATCAGAGAGTGATGTCAGCCCACAGCGTCTCAAACAGACCTTGAGGAAATACAACCATCTCCGCTTTGCGTCCAACGGTGAGACAACGTGGGGGTGTGCACAATGAGAGATTTAGAGGAGAAAAGTGGAGATAAGTGAAGATGAAGTTTAGACGTAATGCTAAACAGGAAATGATGGTGAATGGCAGCAGGCAGTAGAGGCAAGATATGACCGAATTACAATATTTCTCCTAACTTTAGGTTGAGAATACAGATGACCTTGTTTTGCTCATCTCCATCTCTGTTTTGGTTACTTCTGTTTTGCAGGGTTTTCTGTGGGTGCAGGTGACTACAGAGAGAAGGAGGACATGTATGATGAGATCATTCACCTAAAGAAGGTAAAAACTAATGCAGATTTTAAAAAAAAAGAATTCATACAAAACAGCAGGGAGTCTGTTGTTGTCTGGTAGACTTTTTATCACGGCAGGAGATGTTTGATCATTTTGTCTGTAAGAAGCTGTCATCAGTTTCTGGATATTTTTGTGTTGTTGGCTCAAAGTTTTAATACTCTGCAAAGACAGGAACTTATTTTTATCATTTATGTTGTTTTATTAGGTTATTCATATTTTGCCAGCCAGCATTTTTACCAGCATCTTTAATATGTTGAACTGTATGTTTGATCAGTTCTGTATCTCTGTAGAGTCTGCAGGCACAGAAGTCCGACAACCAGCAAATCAAAGCCAAACTGCGACGCCTGGAGGAGGACAACGCCAAAAGAGAGAAACAGATCGAAGAACTGCTGGACCCCACAAAAGTAGGGCCACCAAATAATCCCTGGCTTTTTTCATGGAAGTTTACTTTTTAAAAAAGAAAGACAATGTTTTTCTTTTCTGTAGGGATCTGAGTACACTCGCAGTTTGGTGGATAGAAAAAAAGAGGGTAGTGTGGTGAGTGTGTCCAGTGTGTTGGTGAACATATGATATATAACTTTTTGAATCACATTGAGCAAATTTGCATAAACACTCCTGTCCGTTAAGGTCATCAATGGACTGAAGCAAAGAATCCTGAAACTGGAGCAGCAATGTAGAGAGAAAGAAAATGCTTTAAGGTAACTCGCTCTGTCCAAACCCTTTTGGTTTTATTGCTGAGCAACACTATATTCGGCTACTTTTTTCAGTAAACTGCAAAGTGAGCTGAGGACCACCAACCTGGAGGAGCTGAAGATCACAGTAGAAACCTACTTTGAGGAGGTGAACATCTGCAACATCTTTTGTTGGTCTTAATTACACAATGTCTGCTTTAGTTGCGGAAAGTGAGATCTGTTGTGGGAAAGGAAACTTGTCATATCTGCTTGTGCTCTTCAGATCCAGAGACTGAGGTTGCTTCTGGAGGCTGCAGAGAAAAGGTTTGTACGTAACTGAAGTAAAGCACATTGTCAAAGAAAGGGCATTTCACTTTTGTTTTCAGTTCCTGATGATAACAAAAAGGATTGGTGCCTTTGAATACGCGTAAAGCAGTAATAACTTTTGTAAATCTCTTTTAAAGTTTAATGTAGAATTCCCAGTCTACAGTCACAGACATCCCCACAATTCTTTTACTGGGATGGGAGAGAATCTTGCCACATTCGTGCTTACTTGACTCTGGGAACAAACACAGGATTTAAATATAAAATCATAAAAAACTTTTTCTGAACTTTGGCTAAATGTGTCAGAAACTGTACTTCAACGAAGAAATGGAGTGATTACCTTTCAGTAGGAACTATCCCCAATTATGTCATACTGCACTTCAAAGTATTCTTTGGCAGGATACTGAATCTCATGTAGCCCACCTCCATCTTTATGAGGCGTTCAGGATAAACAGCATCTTCTGGATTAATGACTGAAATGTTCATATGTGATGCGAAGTCCGCCTTCATGCTTGAAATATGCCCGTTTCAAAGGAAACGGTTGTAGGCCATGAACATAAATCATGTTGTCTTCTTCTGTGCATGGTGTGTGTCTGCAGTAGTCGAGCGGAGAGTAAATGCTCCCAGAGGCAGCAGAAAGCTTTAAGCTCCACAGTTCACCGACTGTCTGAGAACCTGAAACAGCTTCAACAGGAGAACGCAGCGCTCAGAGAAGAGCTCAGCACGGACAGTCCCGCTGCAGGACTTAAAGGTCTTGGTTTATTTCCATTTCGCTATGAGGACAGAAATGATGAACTTGACTTAAACCATCCAGTCTTTGAAACTAGAAAGTATATATTAAGAAAATCCCTGTAAATATTCCTACAAATGCTAATCAGACCTAAAAGAAAATGATATAAAAGTGCATTATTTTTTTTTATGACTCATATGTTCAAACCTGGACCTGAAGGAGGATTACAATGTGTTTGTTTTTTTTCTGTGACGGTTCCCTAGGTTACAGAGAGTGGAGCAAACAGAGGTTGTTAAGAAGGCTGTTAGAGCTGGAGAAGGTGAGAGTAAACTGGAACTTGTGGTTCGTGTGAACGCGCGCAGGTGTCTGTGTCAGAATGCAGGCTCACAGCCTCCATCCCTGACGGACGTCTCTCTCATCCTATCAGAGGCTGGAGGACAGCAGAAGACACACCCAGTCGGCAAAGAGCGTCGGCAGATTGGATCAGGAGGTCCAGGCCACACTCCCGGGAGTTCTGGAGATTACCATGGCAACAAAGGCAGTGGTCTCTGTGGGAACAATCACAGAGGAAAGGGAGGCGGTTTCAGACCTCGCCGAACGCCTCAGCCAATTGGAGGAGGAGAGAGTCAAGCTTCAGGAGACGCTGTCAAATAAAAAGTGAGGGACCACTTAGCTGAAGTTAAATGTAACATTGAAGGTTATCTGTGTTTGAAATACTTAATGTTAAACTGTATGGAAGGCATAAACTATGGATAAAATAGTTTGAAGGATGGGCCTGACCCTGGGAGACATGCTTCACAATGCAGCTACGCACTTGAAATGTTCGAGTTCTGCTCCTGAAGCTGATCCCGTTATGTGTTTTACATTTTCAGTGATGAGCTGTTGAAGCTGAGGACAGAGAGAGAAGGACTGGTGAAAGAAACGGAACGATGGAAAGCTGAAAAGAAAAAACAATTTGACAAAGAAAGACAGCAGTACCGGTGTGTTGTGACTTCCTCTGAACATTTGCTATGACGTGTGATTGGTTTAAACTTTGTGTAAATCGGATGCAAGTAAGCTATTTTTTTTAAAAGGGTATTATTCCTTAAAGGATACATTAACCAAACAGTTTTGGATTTAATTAATGTATAATTAGTGGTTACTAAGAGGTACTAAACATAATTTCTGATCAAATGATTGATAGATTTTCACTCGGTAGCAGTATTTTATGTATTTACCTTCGTTTGTATGTTTCCCAGACAGGAGTTACAGGAAGTGTGGGCGAGGATTCAAACTCTGGAGGAGGACAGAAGCAAAACTACTCAGGCTCAGGCCCCCACTCGTCCTCCTCTCACCGGGCCAGAGAGCCAAGAGGACACTCGGAGCCGAGCGGGCCAGGATGCAGGCGAGGAGAGGGACATTGGAAGTAAAAAGAAGGGGGCGGACGGAGACAAGGAACTGGGAATAGATGCAGAGATGAAAGTTAGAGAAAAGGCAGCTTTGATCATTCAGACAAACTGGAGGCAGCACAGACAGATGGTATGCACCGCACCAATGCTTACATAAAGGAAGTCAGTGATGCGTGAGAGAAAGGATTGTGTAAGAAATGTCCTTAAACTAATTTCTCTTTTCTGCCTCCATCCCCATCGCTGTACATTCCCTCTTCAGGACATTGTGATGTTGCAGTCTGTGTTAAGAGGCCATGTCTTCAGACACTCAAAGCTCATGGACCTGCCCAAAGACACGCAGAGCAGCAAGGTTTGTCCACTGTCTCACTAAAGAAAAGAATCTGGTTACAGTCCACAACATTCATATTACAATTCGCCTTTTCTTCTCCATAATATCATCAGCACTTCTTGATTGAAATCTTTTGACATTTTGGTAGAGAGAATTCATGTTTTTTTTCTCGGTAATTCTCTGAAGTACTTTCTGGTGCTCGACCACTTGTGTAAACTTGATTAGTTAATTCAGTAAAATGCACAATTAGATAAAAAGATTAGTAATTATAGGTGTGCACACATGCCCAGGTTCCGATCACGTGTAAAAAAAAACAGATCAACATGGATTGTGATGTGCTGAAACAAAGCTTAGTTTCAGTGTATGTAAATAACCACTAGATGGCTCTGAAGGACATTTACAGTGAGTCATGTTGTCTGTCTGGCCCACTGAACCGTCACATTATCCTGTCTCTTCCCCATCCTCTCCTATCAGGCTGTAAAATTCTTCAGCTGCAGCAGTGTACCCGGCTCTGACGACGGAGAGCTCGATGCAGTTGCCGTGACAATGATACAGTCTGCATTCAGAGGACATCTGGCTCGTTCTAGTCCTGCAATAAAGAGGTTACTCATTTCTGCACGGAAACATAAGCAAGAACAAAAAAAATCATGCTTTAAAAACACACTGCTGAATCTCATGTGTGTTTGTGCATTAGCTCAGGGGTTGCTGTGCCTTCTGCAGTGGAAATCCGTCCAAGAGGAGCTGGCTCTACTCCAGATACCCGTGGAAAATGTAATGTTAACATCATTCTTAGCTGATTATAGACAAGTAGTGTTGGAAAAAGTATCCCTCTATCTTTGCTAGTTCTCATCTTAAAGTTAACCAACATTTTTCTTCCTCCTTACTTTGTTTCTTATATAACTTACCCCACATATGTAGCAGAAAGGTTATTAGTGGAGTAATTGCCAGCTTTTTTGTGTCACATGTGTTTTGGTTTATGATGGACAAAGGCCACAGAGCAGAAAGGTAATTCAGCTTTGAGAGGAAATAACACAGTGACTTTACCGGCTTGGTGTTTGGGCCTGATGTACACTGATGTGCACAATGGCAGTGCATTGCCCATCTCCAAACCTCAAGACAGCCCTTCAGTTCTCCCCAGAGAGCTTAATGAGAAGTGATCGATCTGGCTGACATGCTGATCTAATTCCATAAGGGGAGTTTCCTCTGCCCCGGCCATAGCTCTGACTGCTACCTGTGGGAAGAGAACTCAGGGCCACTAACGCTGCTATCAATTACAGCACTTAAAGATCTATGGTAACTGCTGTTCAGAGGCCTGACCAGCATGACCCTATGAGAATCCGGCGCCCTCACATCACACTCAGCTTTCCGCTCCAGCTCCCCCAGGGCGTGATCAGCGTATGGGTGCACAGAGCGGAACAGCAGGGTCGGCATTTTTCATGCACACCTACACCTACTGCTGTACTTGCTGTGTGTTGGGCATCAGTGGAGGGAGTTTGAACTGCTCTGCCTTAGCTTGTGTTGTAGCTGAGAAGTCATCTGAGATGTATGCAATAAGATAAGAAAATTTCAGATACACCCTATTAAAAGTAACAGGATTACATAAGATGCTCGTGTCTCTAAGCATGTTTATTAATGCTTCATAACTGGCCTTGTAGAATGTGGTACTACCTATTCTGTGTTTTATCTTCAAGGTGCTGCATCACTCAGTAATGATACTGAAGAGGAGCCTGGACAAGACCTTCAGCTTGACTCTTACTCTCGTGACTCCAGGATGACAAAGACAGAAGGTTGGACAAAGTGGAAAATACAGGAAATACCAATTTCTGAATTCAGCTGTATTATTTACACAAATGTGGACATCCTTGTGCATTTATTTTGGTGAATATTAGGATGAACGCATCTCTACAAAAGTCATGAGTATTGGGTCTAAACATAACAAAACACCTTAGTGTAGTCATAATTTATTCATATTTATGTTGTACTATCAATGAAGAATGCCCAAAATATCACAGTTGGACAGGAATAGAATAGATTATTTTCCATGAACGAGACGATTCCCAAAGCCTTGTTAAAAAGTAACTTGCTTTATCTGAGTGAGCTCTATATAGTATGTAAAAGTGCAAAATAAGAAGTGTTTGATCTAAAAAAGTACACTTACCCTTTAAACTGTATTTACATAAATTTTTGCATGTTTCATTAAATGTCAGCATCAATTTGATAGAGTGAACTTCTAGTGAAATAGGTGAATTACAGATGTGTCCCGTGTGTCTGTTCCAGCTGAAACCCAGCCCCACTCTGAGCCTGCAGTCGATTCAGATGATTCCGATGACATCATCGTGTCGCCGTCACGTCCACTGAGAAGCAGAGAAGTCTTGATGTTATAGACGGCTTCTTGAGTGAAGAATTTCTTCCGAAAGTCTGTATGTCACAAACATTCTCCAACAAATCATGACTGATATTAGAATATGATTTGGCATACAGTATTTCCTGTAGAAGAGCCTCTCCCACTCTCATAATCACGATATCCTTGCAATGGGATTCTTTTACAGCTTGGAAATACAGTAAATGGCAGATATGCACTTATTTTGGACAAGATTTTACTCCAAACATTTAGTATTACATGCCAATTTGTCTGAAGGTTCTCCTTTTGTAGAGGAGGAGAGAGCTCTTCTTTAAACAGCTCCATTTATATTATTCTGTCAGTCATGCGTCAAATCTCTTTAATTAGTGTCAACTTTTCTCATGATTGTTTTCTGTGCCGAAGTGCCTACTCGCACGGTGATATAAATGCGTCGTAAGTTTTACCACCCTGACGGTTCAAAGGGAGCCACTTCACTGTAAATTCCTCTGATTTATATTTCAATATGCCTGAGTTAAAGCCCATAAATATCAGATCAATAATGAATCATATGCTGAAAAGATAATGGCTGATTTCTCTGTATGACTTGGGGCTGATTCTCAGCTGATGCACTATCGAGTTGAACTGTGAATAAATTATAGATCACTCTGCTGCAATACTGAAACGTCCGTGGAGGACACAGAGGGAGGATCCCTAATGCCAATATATCATGTGCTTATAAGTAGTCAAATAATTTTTAAGGGGCTCGGCAAAAAGAGGGAATGAATGCAGTTTTATCAGCATGTGTGTAACTTAATTTCTGAGGCGTTCAATAAAATGCCGTATTTTTAAACAAATTTTATTGTGACAGTTTTTCTTAACTAGAAAGCTATCTTCATGACTTTGTTTTCTGTGCTTTGTGATTGACTTTAGATGTCTGGTGAAACGGATGTATTACCACTCAAAGTGTCAGGATTTCTTTTCTTAACCCATCAAATAGGTTAAATTGAATAGTTTTACCCAAGATAGAGAAATAGAAACTTTATTTTCCTAGCTGTTTGGGAATAAAGCACCATACAAGGCAGAGTGAAGGCATTACTGGTGCATTATTTACAGAAAAGATGCTAAAGTTAGTTAAACGAGGTGTGAAAGTAATGATACTCAAGAACGAAAAGAGATATGGCGTGGAGGAGAGATGTCACCCTGTTTGTGTGTGGAAAGTGGATTCTAAAAAAGAAACGTCCCACATTTCTATCTGTAAATGATTATACAAATGTCCCAGGTTGCCACCAGCCTAGAACATTTGTAGCATGTCATATCTTCGTTAAATGGAGACAGAAACATGGTACTTAAGATCCATGCGTCTCACACAACTTGAACCAACGTTGTACTGCCATGTTTCTACCGTCAGGGGGAGGCCTTTTTGCGCATTTGCCCACCTCGCCACACACACACACACACACACTCACACACACACGCTCACACAAGCGTATTCACAGCCGGAGATGCCGCAAAGCCCCATCCTCCATGGCTTTTTAAACACCGTGTTCACTTCACGCTTCAACAATACCGTCCAATTGAAGGGCTGCGTCGCCAAACGGACAGACGAGACGGTCATCATGGGAGCGAGCACAAATCATTAGAGGGGGATAACGACGGTTAACGCCGGTCTGCGAGAAAAAAAAAATTAAGACTCTTCGGGTTGCGGGTCAAAGAGTTTAACCCGTAATCTGCTGCCACGGAGGCTCGTCGAAGCGGTGGGGCGTCCTGGTGAAATGTGAGCGGACCCGGGTTGGTGGCTGTTTTCCGTCATTTTCAATGTGGTTGGGACCGCAGCTCACTCGCTCGTTGCAGCTAGCTCCGTGCAGCCGCGTTGATGCAGCAGCCCTCGGTGGTCGCGTTCAAATCCTCCACCGGACCAGGGAAGACAATAGGTGAAATACGCGCCGCCTCGGACTCCCAAAACTCGATTGAACGAGAGCCGTCAGCTTTGCCTTCGGAAGGTAGGTTGTATCACAGCTCCCCTTTCCAACCCCCCTAACCGAACACCGGGGCTTTGATGTCCGCAGACAGACGGAGCTCGAGCGAATTCCTGCCTTTTCCCATCCTCGTTGCCTTGACGACTCTGCGGTAGTTTTAACGGACAAAGCGGGATGAAGCTAGCTAATCCGGGTTTGCTAACACTTAATTGACGTTCTCAATAATTAAGCCCTTCGTCTGGAATTTGTGGGGTTTTCATTTGTCTGAGCTGACCTACATGCTTCGGTACAGTAAATTCTAGTACAATAGACCGAGTCGTGGCGTTGCATGGGGCTTAATTCAACGGCCATTTCTCCGTCTTTATGTTTATCTCACGAAGCCCGTGTTTTTTTTGTGTTGTTTTTTTTGCACCATGGGCGTAAATTTGGCGATGCAGGGTGGCAGCCAACCGTGCTAAAGCCGTGACCGCATAGGTCCGATGTGTTCCCACGGTGTGTCCTGCAGGAATCACTAAAATGCCCAATTGTCTCTTTTATAACAGCATACAGTTGAGGATGTTAATCATATAATCCTGTTAATTAAATGAAAATACTGTTGCCCATAATTATCACGACCCAGGTACAGTTACACCCCCCATAATTCACTGCAAAGAAAGGCAACCCATCGAATAAAGGTGATTCATGATAGAAGTGAATGTCTTTTTCTAAAGTGAGTCACAGTTCTATTGCAGTAGGAATAGTCCTTTACAGACACAATATTTTCTGCAAGAGTGTTAGAAACGGATATGTGGACATTTAACTGTATTTCCTATTTATAAGAATTTGATGAAAAGTGTAATACAGATCACTAAGGTGAGAATGGTGCATTGATTGACATGTTGGTTCGGTCTCATTGTAAGTAAATAATGGAATTAGCCTCAACGGCAATGTCAATCAATAGTAATTACTCCCTTGGATCCAGGTTTATGCTGCAACTCTTCATCTGACATTTAAACGTTGCTCTCTCTGCTTCATCAAAGACATGACAGCTGGTTGTGATTTTCCCTCCAGTCTCCCTGTAAAGAATCAGGTTCCAGAGAGGGAAGCGACAGCCCGCAGGCAGCTGCATCAGGATGGCGGCCGTCGTGAACTATTCTCCTCCTTGGTGGGTGAACCTCCTCCACCGGTTGCCTCATTTCAACCTGGAATTTCAAGTCGTGAGCAGCGATTTCAGACCCGAGGACTCGGAATATCAGAAGGTGAGGAAAGTGTGAGGGAGTATTTACCTCCCACACAAAAATCCCCGTCGTCCCCATCGTGCAGCATCTCCTGAACATCCAACCGCCCGACATCTGTGCACACTGTAATTTCACAGCGGATTGGCAAAGTACTTACTCAGACTGTCCTGCAACCGCAGCGTTGTGGGTTCCCTCAATGTATTGATTAGTGCTGTGTGTGAGAGAAAAGAAGGCCAGGGATATCAATAGAGTAAAGGCTAAGCCTACTGGCTCTCCAACATTGTCATGGTCAAATATTACGTTCAGTAACTATGAGTTCAGCTCATGTCTGGCTTGTTGGTCCTGACTTGATGCCACTGGGGGGGATGTGTTGTACTATGAGCCATTGATTTGACCCGCTGATGGCTACTCTTTGCACGCTTATTTTGCTTCCACTGCAACCTAGAACAGTTTTTCATATCCACTAGTTAGCAGCCACGACCCGTAATCCTTTTCACACAGTAGTTGCGTCGCATCAGCACAAAAATGAAATTATCAGGACGCTGTTCCCCTTATCTTATTTACATAGAGCAGTGGCTACTGAACCAGCATCAGTGTGTGTTTGTACACAGGTCAAGGTGGCATCGTGTAATCTGCTGTGTGACAGCAGTGACGCTGGTAAGAGGCATATCCTCCGTGCTCGCTCGACCTCGCATTCACAGCAGTTCAGCTCTGATGGTTCACTTGAGGTGATGATCAACATGGTCTCCATCATTTCGCCCCTGTACCTAAACATAGATTCTGGCACGCAAAGACAGCTCACGTTGAAACATCGTGTGAAAAGAGCTAGTGAGTCAAAGCTGCTGACTCACTTTTGGAGCCAGAGAAGTAGCAGTGATACTTCAGTGTGTGCATACAGTTCAACCCACCTTGTTAGCACCCGGTTGAGTACTCTTCAAGCACAAAGGCAAAAAAAGTGATAAGACATATTTCATTTTTATATTTGATATTTCTAGGGTCGTTTGCTAAACGAATATTTCAATGGTATGCTGTTAAAAAAAAATTTTTTAAAAGAATTCATCCACATGTTTGTGGAGTAGTGAGTATTCAGTTATTTCTTGACTCTTTGAGCGCCATTGTCATAAGGAGAACCAATTGAGAATTAAAAGGACATAGAAGGACGGCCAACTATCTTTCATTTTCACACAGTGGAATTCCTGATAATCTACCAACAGGTTGAGTAATTTTTTACCACAGGGCCAGACATCCTCGGTTTTCTGTTCATTTTGCACCACAAATGTCGGACACTCTTAATGAATTCAAAAGAAATGTGATGACTAGGTATATGAGTTGCAAGAATTAGCCAAAAACAAAACTATTTTGAGTCATTCTTTGATTAATCACTGACCGAGTTGACGGCACTACCTCAGGGAGCATCTCTAGCTCAAGTGAAATGGGGCTCTGGCCCAGTTTTTGCTGCATTTCAACAGAATCCTCTCACAAGGTGACTTCCAGGTCTCTGCAGCAGAGAGCTCGGCGCTCGGAGCTCTCGCAGAGCTGAGAGGCATCATTTAGAATCCCTCATTTCATGCACTGCAGTCGCCCCACAATGTCGTTTGCTGACATGCACGGAGTGGGGGGTTGGGGGGGGGTGTGCAAGTTCAAGAGCTGAGCGTGGGAAGGCAACCGTAGCCATGAAAAAAGGGAGGAAGACGAGAAGTGGAGAGAGGCAGGGAGAGATGAAGAGGAGGAGTGAGAAAGATAAAAGGACTGATTGGGGCGAGAGGGGAGAAAGAGGGTTTGATGAGCCATGGGAGGTGCCTCTAAATTGCCAAATCGCCACTTCCTGTGAGCTATTCAGTGTTTAACTAAGGGCCTTTGTGTATGTGTGTGTCTGCGTGTGTGCCCACTGGAATTTTAAGAACCCCCTCTTTAGACTAATTACATACTGACATATTTCAGCACACGAGGTGGTTTCTAAGTCAGCGATCGTTTGGTGCCTTGATCACATGTTTGTGCGAACAGTTGCACACATGATGCTCCGTGAATGTATGTCACATACGGCGCGTTGGCTTTCTGTGTCAGCGCGTATTTAGCACTTTGTGTTGTTTATCGAGGTGAGGTCACTGAACTCCCTCAGGGTGTGTGTGTGTGTTGTGTGTGTGTGTGTGTGTGTGAGTGAATATAGGGGTTCTATTCAGGGTGAAATTGTCCATTCTGGCTAGACAGGAGGGAGGGAAACACGGAGGGTGAGAAGAGCGAGAAGAAGGGGTTTGAATTGGACCGGGGGTGCAAGGGAGTGAGGGAGCGAGGGGAAAAAGGGGGTAGGAGGTAGGGGGTGGGAAGGGGAGGGCTGCAGTCTGTTGTGAGAGAATGCTCTCTTTCTTTCGTTCACTCTTTCACTGGGGCCCGTCTTTAGATGGGCTCAGTATATCTGTCTCAAAGGCTTTCATGCATCCACTCAACCAGCTGATAAATGCATAAACACACACGGGCATACAAACAAGGCCCTACACAGTGTTCGTCACTGCTGTGCAGCATTACAGATACACACACACACACATTCACTCACTCTAAATCACACAATGGAGAGAGATTCTTCTGTGTAGTGGTTTTTCTTCCCGATGTGACTTTGCTCACGTTCATTTGCATTCGACTGTTGATGCTGCTCAAAACTTTGCTCTCACGCACTCACCCACTTCAGCTGCCCCCTCTCTCATGTCCCCACTTTTCCTCTTGGAAAAAGCCTCTTAATATTCACTCAAGAGAGCAGCTGCTTTTTGGGATGCTGACTCCGGGAGGTTTTTCAAGAGAAGTGTTTAACTTTTTTCCTGGAGAGCTGAAATAGAAACCCTCATCCTGAGGCTCTGGGAGGCATCGGAATATGCATGCGCGTTTGTGTTATGGTGGAATCGCAGCGTCAGCTTCCAGCCACAGTTAAAACAGCTGCAGAACATTACAGAGGAATCATGCGACCCATAATAGCACATATTCCCATCTGTGGAGAGTAAGTCAGTAATTGTCATTTAGGTAATAGGCAAAATTTTGCAGCGAGGAAGGAATGACCTCATCACAGTTTGAAGAGGACAGACAAAAGCTGCCTTTCTTCTTTAGTGTCGCACTTCAAAAGCCTTTGTGTACGTCTTACATGTGGTGCGATGGCTGCTCTCTGACCGTGTTGATCAGGTAAACATTAGCTGAATGAACTCGAGGTCAGTCACTGCCTCGGGAAGAAAAAAGGTAAAGATTTGAGTCCAGTCGCAGACAGGGTCAGACTGCAGACAGACACCCAGGAAGGGAGAGTAAGGACAACTCACGGAAGTGGAAGTGATCGATCCTGTCAGCTCAAACACGCCGACACACATTCACGGAAGCGCACACATACACACACTTTAACGGGGAGATTGGAAGTAGATCACTGTGCCTGTGTGTTTAACGTTTCGGCCCCTCCTCCAGCCTGCAAGCTGATCCGTACTCGGGTGAATGTGAACGAACGCACACACACATGTATGTACGGGCACACACACGTACAGCCAAGCTCGACATGCTTATTAGCAGCTAATTGAGCCACTTTTAATCTGCTCTGATGGCTTCTGAGCCTGACAGTTAATCTAGAAGCCACCAAACTCACTAGGACAGCAAGGTAGTCTAGCAGCAGACAGGCAGAGAGCTGGCTCCCAGTTAAAAGCCCAGACAAAAGAGCCCACGTTCAGTTGTTGCTGTTCTATATTCAGACTTCTCATGAGATTAGCGGATACTGCCAGGTCGTTGTATAAATCTCTCTGTGCTTGTCGCTCTGTCGTTGGAATCATGCTCTACATATGTTTAGAGTGACTTGGAATAAACGTTGCAATTTAGGATGGATATTTATTCACCTATTTTACAATATCCGTCATTGCTTTTCCTACTTGTCAGACAGGGTAAGACTCCACTGGATGAAGCTAACCTCAAAGGAAAAAGAGAATTTACGATATGTTAGTGGTGCACAATAAGGCTTTATCAAAGCGCAAATTCTCCTGCACTAATCCTATAGATTATAGCAAAGGATAATACCAGAGAACAAGAATCTGTGGAGCTCCTGCCCCTATTCTTTCCCACCAACATTACACTGTGTCCTATTACTACCATCTTTAACCTCTTAAAGAGCAGTAGTCAAGGACCACACCATTTACATCCATCCACACAGTTCTTTGTCTTGTTGACCGTGCAAGTTACATTGTTATGGGATCCATCCCTTTTCTGGAGTACAACAGGCTGCAGTTGCATCCCACAGGCTTCAGTCCTTTTTAAGGTTTAGAGTTCCGTTTGATCTCTTTTTTATGCCAGTAAAGGTCACACCCATATGGCTGCTATAGTGGCCTCAAAGACTTCCTACCCAGATGTGCTGCTAAAGGGGCCTATCTGTCATGGTTCATTCTTACTGGGTAATTCTTTTTGATATGATAACAGAAGGTGGAAAGTGCACATCCTTTGTTGGTGTAGATTCTGAGTCATCCAGGTCATTTTAATCCTGAAGGCTGGAGTATAGGGAGCTGGGCTTCTTCCTGCCCAGCGATGTTTCATCTTGTCGTCAGACTTTATTACAGCAAAGCGTTTCACCAAATGTCCTCAACAACCACAGCCCTCATCTGGTTTCTGTATGTTATGTTTGAATAAGGAATGCCAGGAGCTTGCTAAATGCTCTGGTGATGTGGTGAACGTTATAGCTGTGTTACCTGCCAAACACTTGCAAGCCAGCCTGAATTCACCTGGCTGTTGATTTGTCCTTTTAAGAGCAATGAAGACAGATATATGCAAATTCCATTTTAAAACAAAGATTTAGTAACTGGAGATTTTGTTGAGTTTTGTCAACAGGAATATTTAGATAAATCTTCACAGTTCTAATAAGTGTGGAAAGGACAAGTTTAAAATTGAATAAAAAAGTGGTAATCTTTTACTGTCGGGGAGCCAGGATTTCTTAGAGACTTTGCCAAAATGTTGTCCACGTCTCCCCAGTTAAACATTTTCTGCTTTTCAATGAACACAATTGTTACAGGATTCCTATGTCTGCTGTAAGTAGTCTTGCAGGTGGAGAATGTAGTTTTCCAGGAACGTCCCTCAGTCTCTCCATAGTCCTGCAGCAGAATGACTTTTCCCGACAACTCCGAAAGGGAAAGATCAACATGTCTGTCAGTGGTTCAGAAAGACTGATTCAACAGTTCAAACTCATCTTTGTCTATTTGGAGTCGTGGTTCTTCTTTCACATCCCCTTCCTTGTTTGTTTCCCCAATCTGGTTCTTTTTTCTCTCCCAAGTTCCCCCCTGGTCTCTTCCTTCTACTGTCTGCCCCCAGCTCCACTTCCGGCTTTTGCACTTCAGAGTTTTTAGAGGTGAAGTGAGCTTGGCTGTGGGTCTCTAGCGCCCACAGCTCCCCAGCAGCAGCCTTTCCGCTCACTCTGTGGAGCGTTTGATGGTGCACAAACTCAGCACAATGCATTGCTAATCTGCTACTATTTATCAAACCCCCATTAAAGGGCACCTGTTTTGTGGCCTCAGCTGAAGAGTTTCTGTGTTCATTTGTCTGCTAAATCATGTGGTTAGTCTGTGTATCTGCTGTCTGCTCTTATCAACTTGTTTCTTGTAGCAATAACCCACATCCCAAATTGTCCACTTCCCAGCGATAAGGACCAGTCTAAAGCACAATCAATTTATACAAAGACTGATTCAAAATGAAATGCTGTCATGAAAAAAAAAGACATGTAAGTGAAATCATGACATCATGGTTGTTTCAATAGCTTTTTTCCTATTCTGTCTCTGCAGTCTGTCTTGCTCATCGGTTCTGTGGCTCTGGTGTGTTTGGGCCTGGACCTCCTCTTCCTCCTCTTCTACTCCTTCTGGCTCTGCTGCAGAAGACGCAAAAGTGACGAGTCGTCGCATTCCCATTCGCACTCCCAGCAGCCGAGCGCTGACTGCTGCTGCACCGCTTGGTGTGTGATCATCGCCACGCTCGTCTGCAGGTGAGAGTCCAGATGAGTGAAGCTTCGGTATGCATGTGTTCATCCTTCTTGTGTTTCTTGTGTCTCTTAACTTTCCCCCACAGATCGTTTAACTTTGCTATCACTGGTCATTTAATTTGTGCCCTTTCTCCATCTACCACAGTTTGACCAAAGTAATTTTTCTCGCTGTGTCAGTATCTGTTTTCCTCTTGTTTATACAGCAAGTGCCTGTAATTACCGAGTGCTGCCTTTGAAATTCTTCGTCTCTTAGGCTCTTGTTTATGGTTGTCAGTAATTGTGTCTCTCCACAGCAGATCTGGTTCTTGGCGCATATGATTAGAGAGAGATAGGAGCTCACATTTAGAAATACACAGATGACAAGCAGAATAGAGGAGGCAGGAATCACTTTCTAGGACAATCAACCTTAGGATGCAGACAGACATATCATGTTATGATTATCATGATTATAACATTCCCAAATTATATGACAACACATACAATTGCCTGTCCCAGAAGGATACTGTGTTTTCTCCCATCCCCACCTCTTAGTGTACTGTGAAGGGCCTTGTTTCCCAACACTTAATGCTAATTTAAGAGTCCAATAACCACAAAACATCAAAAAATGCAAAACCATAATGTGATTTCCAAGATACAGTGAACATGATATCTCACTTTTATTTCCTGTAGGACTGTGATTTTGCCACACATCATCTGTTGTTGCATACTTGCAATGCTTGCAATGCTTCCACAGCTGTTAAAAAAAAAAACCTGAAAAGAGAGACTATCTGGAGAGATTGGGATCTATGTAACAGCAGTAACTCCCACTGTGTCATGAAAAACTCCATATAGATTTCAGTTTCACTTCAGAGTGAGGGAAATCTAATGAAGACCTTTATTGATCCAGTGAGCAGACAACATGATAGCTGCTATATGCTGTCTGTTTAATGTAAATCTGGACAGTTTTCCCTTTTTTATAGTCTTGAGGTCCATGTAGGGTCATTGGGAGCCAGCCGGATGGTTGCACTCCTCTCTTAGTGTTTATCTGACACTGTGAAGGCTGCGTACACTCTGAGGCCCTTCACCCTGATGGCCCAGCAGCAAAGTGGAGCTTATTTTGACCACAGATGCTGGGCTACGTGCTCATCTGGGCACAATGTCACCAAAAAAGATAGATGCATGCTTATAGGCACACAAACCTGTCCTCTTTTGATTATACTCAGACACCTCTCTTTTCTTCTATTCCAGCTATTCCTCCCCACTCCTTCTTCTCTTTCTTTATATATGATTTTTTCAGCTCGGCCCTCTCCCTGGCCTAGAAAGGTTGCCATGGAGACAGAAGCAGATGTGATGTAGAGATGAGAAATGAATAATAGAGTCAGGGAAAACTGTGTATGTGTGTGTGTGTGACTCAAGGCCAAATATAGTTTTTTGGGATGGTTTTTAATGTTTTATGATTAGCTTTAATATTCTTTTTAAATATTTGATACAAATCCAAGCATACGTGGACATGATGGCGTGTATATATACAATGTGCACACGTTTCTTTGTCTGTGTCTTAACATGACGTCATATCCTATTTTTGGCTTGGTGCCAACAAGTGGACTTCCTTCGTTTGTGTGCAGGTGTAGTATCATTAGACAGAAGAGGCTTGTTTACATATTATGCTTTAGCCATCATTAGAGATCATTATTATTAGTATTGTTGTTATTTATGTAGAAAAAGATATTACATCAATAAGAGTGATGGAAAAACAACTACACATGACAGAAATAGTGCCTAATCTCACTCATTTTCCTTTTTTTTTCTATTTTCACATATAAAATAGATATTCGGTGTGGGATTGGCACGTCTTTGGTAATGATCATCAGTTGCTTCCTATGTCCTACATTACTAATAAGATTAGTGATTTTTAGCTTTTGTGTGCTGTCTGCTGTTTTTACTAAAAGTCTTTTGTGCATTCATAAAGTTAAGACATCATTTACACATAGGGTCTCGTTTAGAATTCAGGTGAAACAGGTTTATTTGAACTTGAACTCGTTATCAACTCAACATTTACCTTTTTTAAGATTGAGCTTGAGCCCAACACACATCATTTAAGCATAGTGAAGCATATTTTCTTTGTGATGTCAGCTCTTTTCAGCTGAGATGATCCGATGCAAAAAATAACTCTCTGATCTGTCTCTTTGAGCTGACATCATTCAATACCCCGCGCTGTTCCTGGAAAGTATGCCTCAGTCATGTATTTAAATGGGAGCATTTTATGTTTTATGTTATGAGTTGCTGCCAATCATTCAGTTTTGGGGGCTGTTTGTCTCCTATTCACTTTTTTTGGTAACAGTAATGGAATGTCTTGATAGGACCAGCGAGTTTTAAACCTCGGATGATACTCATGGAGAAATTATACGAGAGGTAAGGAAGAATAGAGAAGTGGAAAAACTGGATAGAAAACAGATAACAGAGGAAGGAGGGTAATAATTGCAGTGTGGAGCGGAAGGCAGGGATTTGTTGAATGATGAACCAGTTATGCATCCAAGTATCTACACGCTTGCTTTCGTTGTGCCTCTTTTCTGGCATTTGTTGTTTTATACCACCATTCTACACACGCAGCCTCACAATGTAAAGCCAGTTGTTACACTGAGACTATTCAAAATCTAATGGCCTGGAATGAATCGCTGTAACAATGGCCATAAATTTGTTTCTATAAATCTGCCTGGTGTTTGCATGCAGACAATGACATCGTCAATACAGAGCGGAGGAGGGCAGCGGGGGCACCGGGAGGGAATTAGATGTAATTTATTGAAAAAATATTTTCTGCTGAGCTGCTTGTGTTAGTTGTGGTGTTAATTGGGGAGGCACTGCGTCTGTTAGCCAAAAGACATTTTGGGATTAGCAGCACAAAATATTGTTGCATGTACCCTCTGCAAATTTGGCCCCAGCACCACGGAGGGCTCATATTGTTTGTGGTCTGGTGACCCAGTTATTCTCCAGACCTTGTGTGTAAGTGTGTGTGTGCGTATGTGCGTGTGCGTGTGTGTGTGTACGTGTGTGTGAATCATTCCTGGTAGTCCTTTGTTTGCCCTAGGCTTGAGGGTGACACCACAGCAAAAACCAGAGATCTCAGTGTTGCCTGTTGCTGGTTAAAAGAAGAACTACAGTACATCCAACAACCCAGCTGCCAAAAGCTGTCAAAACCTGTGCTGTGTGTGCTCCTGGTTGATACAGTTCTTACTGCATGTGCTGCAAAATATAACAGCCAATATGATTCATGTCATCAGTTTTAGTGTACCAGTTGTTTTGTTTTCATGTAGAGGGTGAATTAGTCATGGAGTAACAGTTGGCTCTTCCTGTTTTCTGCCAAGTGCTGGCATCGCTGTGGGATTCTATGGAAACGGGGAGTCAAGTGATGGAGCCAATCGTTTGGCATACTCCCTCCGTCACGCCAATCGCACTGTCTCCGGGGTGGAGAAATTGGTGAGCTCTTTCCCACTGTGCAAAACATTATGCTTAGGAAAATAGAAAAATGACTGACAGCCTCTCTGTGTCTGTAGGTATCTGACAATGCCCTAGCCTTAAACCAGACAGTGGAGGAGAACCTGGTCCAGCTAGAGACAGTCTTCAAAGATCAGACAGACTACGTAGCTATCGTCCAGAAGCTGCAGGGACAGCTGGATGAGCTGGTGAGGCTGATGGCGGATGTTCCTTTCTGGTCCAACACCGACATCTCCCTGGAGGACTTGGCCCTAAAAACAGAGGGCTTTGACTTTTACAGGTCAGCACTATAATACAACATTTGCTAAAACAAATTCAATACAGTGTTTTTTTTGCATATGAGACATATTATACATATGTTACAATACATGCACTAGCCTATTTATTCATTACTGACTTAGATTCAAATAAATATTGTCTCTAGATCAGGGATAGCATGTTAAGACCTATGAGCCAGTTCCACATGGCTATTGATGAAGCAGTTGATCCAGTGGACAAAACTAATATCTATGTTCTCTTGATATGATTCGAACACTAAAACGTTAAACAAAGACAATTGTGAAAGAGTGTAAAATTTAATGTCTGCCTGGTGTTGTGTGTTATTACAGGTGGTTGGGGTACCTGGGGCTGCTGTTGTTTGACGTTCTCATTTGTCTTCTGGTGCTCTTCGGTCTGATTCGCAACTCGAGAAGCACTCTGATTGGGTAGGTTGCTTCGCATCATTCCCCAAAAGCTGCTCCTATTGGACAAACTGAACCTTACCCTGCCTCTGGTTGTGTAATAACTGAAACTGTCAAACGCATGTCATGTTATAAAGCTGAATCTTCACCTTTAAAAGGCAATTTTTTTCCACCCTTCAGAGTATGTCTGCTTGGTGTTCTGACTCTGATCATCAGCTGGGGGTCCCTGGGTCTGGAACTGGCTGTCGCTGCTGTAAGTGTAACCATGGCAACACTGCTGAGCTCTCTGGCACTGCAATGATGTAATCTCTACCCACTGCAGGAGTGAGCATGTTCACTGTAGGCTGATGTGTTGTGTGCTCACACTCTTACAGTCTGCCAGTGACTTCTGCGTTTCCCCGGATACCTACATCACCACGGTAACCAGAGAAAATGCTGTCATCAACCAAGGTATGCAGGCAAAACAGTCAGAGGGAATTAGAGTAGTTTATTTGGTTGAGCTGTCAGACTTGATAATGTTTGTGTTGTGGATAAATCTCATCATATTTGATGAATTCTACACACATTGTCATATTTTGTCAAGAATGAAATTATATTGATAATTGGAACTTTCATAGTTGTAGTGTTATTTAAGAAATAAGCAAAGAAAATTCAGGCTTCACTCTAGTGGCTGCTCTGAGAGTTGCTGCTATTTTTGACAACCACATCTTCTTGTTAATCTATGTGTGCGAGTGTCCATCCTGCAAGATTGTTTAATTGACACAGGTATCTAAAAGCTCAAACTCGCTCTCTGCTGACTGCAGAGCATCAGCAACCCATCTCACCTTTCCTCCAGTTAGACTCATAAGCTTCACAAGAAACAGATTCCGTGCACATTTAGCATCTCCACTCACAATCCTGATTTGATTTGGTCTATCTCGTCACCCTTTTACATCACTCCTCTCTTCTCAGTTGATTCCACTCCCCCTCTGCCAGGTTTCCTTCCCTCTGTCTACCCAACTAATGAGGCCTGTTGTCTGTCGGTACTTTAGGCTCTATCTGCTTGTTGTAAAGCACAGATGTTACCTTTATAACACATCCAGACACAAAATTAGACCTAGGTTATTCTTTAGTCATGCCCAGTAAGGAAAAATGGAAAAAAGACTGCATGGGGAATTCATTTTTATTTATGAAATGTTGTACTGCATATATGAGCAGTATTATACTGATATATATTTATTGGTATATTGCCAGATATCCTGCAGTATTACCTGAGTTGCAGCCCTGGACAAATTAACCCATTCCAGCAGGTAATTTTGTCTCCCAGTGTTTACCAAATATGAGACATACATTTAATATTTATTTTTTGTGAGATTGGGGTGAATCGGACTTGACGCAATAAACCAACTAAACCATACGTTTGTAATTTGTGTGCTTTTTGTGCTTGTTGTTATGTTTTAGAGGCTGTCAGGGAGTCACAAAGCGTTGGTGGAGATGCAGGATGATGTGGCAGAGCTACTGAGATCAGCAACACGTGACTATGCCAGCACCAAGGTGCGTGTGTATTCATCTTTTGATCTTTTCTCTTACAGATGAATGAACCTGAAACATTTTGAGCAGCATTAAAGAGTCACTTGCTAAAGGGCCAGCGCATGCCTGCTTGTCTTGCTTTGCGCAGACATGCGATGGAGAAGGATACATCTATTTATATTCAAGGCTCACATGAGAAGCCTTTCCTTTGTGTGCGCAGGGTAGTCTCGAGCAGATCCAGTCTGTGCTGAATTCCACTGAGGTTGGTCTTCACCAGCTGACAGCTCTGGTTGACTGCCGCAGCCTACACATGGTGAGTCACTTTATGTTTTGTTTGAAAAGAGAAAGGTCCCAGCCTGCATTACCATTCAGCTCTCCTCTTTTCGCCCTGTAGGATTATGTCCAAGCTCTGACTGGCCTGTGCTATGACGGGGTGGAGGGTCTCATCTACCTAGTGCTCTTTTCCTTCGTCACCGCTCTGATGTTCTCCTCCATCGTGTGCAGTGTGCCTCACACTTGGCCTGGCAAGAGGTAAAATGCCCACGTCTGTAATCACTCTCACGCTCATATGGCCCTTTTCCATCAAGTGTGACTCGACTCAACTTTCTTTCCTAATGTTTTTTCCCCGCTTTGTTCCACTTTTTATCATAGGATAAGATTGGTGTAACAATCTGTGCACATGATTTACATATTTGTGGATATAGACAGCATATGAAAGGCATGCGTTACTGCCCGTAACCATGGCAGACGTCTTCAGTGATTCGTCATTTCTGAATGTGTTGCCAGACCTTCTTTTCATTATTTAAATTGGTCTTGAGCATGGGCTCTCCACGCATTCTGAAGGCCTTTGAAAGCATTTATTCGGCTGCTGGCTGCTCATTTATTTGCTCATTTTCATTCCAGCAATTTTGAGGAATGAGCATTAATTTTTTCCAGCACAGCATTGATAGATACAAAAATAAAGTAAAGAGCCTGTGGTATATCTCCAAATTTTAGACAATTTAAGAAAAAAAACATATTGGAATGAAAGAAATTAAGATGACTTCTGAGCAGTTTTGTACCTGTGCCCATGTTTATTTTTCACATATACAAACTCAAGAGTGCAGATCTACACGTGGAGCTAACATGGTAATTAGCTGTAATCAGCAAACTCACACAATGGAACAACACCCCTGTACAAAGATCCCACAGTTTTGTGTCAGTGTTAAAGGCAGTTGGAGTCGAGCCGCACCACACAATGGAAAAAGAAAATGGCCCCACAACTTTTCACATCTAACTCGGTCTTTTAGTAATCATTACACTAATGACTGACACAGTGCCTCCTCTAACTTTTTTCTGGAATTGTCTAACTAAATCCAGTTAGACGAGTTGAACACAGTGAGAGGACCGATAAAGAATTTACTCAGTGCCCATGCATGTCAGCACTGTTTCTGCCACCTTAACAGCTGTATCTTTCCATACGTCTTCCTGCCTGTCTTTGCATCCATGCAGTTGCCTTTTATTTATTTTGTCGTCTGCCTTTAGCACTGCCAGCCCGGCCGATGGTTTCTTTGGATGTTTGTGCATATCTCTAATTTTCCTTTCTCCCCTATGGACTCGGAGCACTAGTGTTGTTTTCGACAATATGTCACCACATTTTTTTTTTCTGTGCCCCACTTCCCCCTTCTGTTTCTTCCCTTCCTCCTCTCTCCCTGTCCTGATTTGGAAATGCTTTGGGCTTCAGCAAATGATGGTTTATATGGAAGAATTTGAAGGACCCAGACAATCAGTCCATGCAGATAGCTTTTTACAAAACCCTGATAATTCAGTGGTTCATGGGACCACATGCAGTGATGGTTCTTACTCTGGGGAATTATTCGAATCATGAAACAAAGCTGTGCCAGATTAACGGTGTTTTATGCTGGTCTGTTGGGTTTGGATCACAGCCTATACATGCACATAGCCCAGCAGGTATTCATTTGTGATGGTTGAATTTAAGAATAGCTGCTCACATTGGGTAGATTCCCTGATAAACAGACTCTGCTGCAGCAGCTCAGGCTGTTTGATGGGCTGCCCACTTCAAACTCCTTTCTTGTTAAAAGAGACAAACAGTTCCATCTGGTGGTCAATCTGAGCATCTCCTCATGCTTACTTGACTTTCAAACATTCTCCATATAGCTCCCTTCCTCTTCACTTCTTTAAAAGACAAGTGGTATTTCAGTGTGCAGACAGCTGATGCAGCACCAGCAAAGAGGACAGAGACATAAGGTGGATATCAGTACTGACTATGTGATTGGTCATCAACTTATCTGCAGCCAGAGATCCAACTTCCAAATCAGCACAAATCCTATTTAATGCCTCATTTTGTTGAGTTGCTGGCCGTTTTACATTTTTGACCATTTTATGTCTGAAAATGGTTTGCTCAATTCAGCCACACTATCTCCTTTTTTGCCTGATGTTTTTTTGCTTTAATTTCCATGGAGCACACAGAGATGCACGGACAAAGAAACAGGATTCTCTAAATTCACTGCTGTTTGAAGAGTTTGACCTGGACATTAAAAAAGGAGCAAATGTCAATATAAGATGTCTGCATGAAAAAAAACTGACTGCATGTTTTTACCTATTAAGCATTTTCTTTTGGAAATGAGAGTATCCTACTACTAAACAACACAGGAATCCATGAGTCCACTGTGGACTCCTCTGCACTTGTAGACCTGTTTTCTAGATGAATGCTGCCAATATTCCCTTTCCTCTTGTTCAGTGACTTTGGGGCTCGGGGCGTGGCCTCACTGAGTCTTGAGCCTTTGGGAACTCCTGGGAGTACAAACACTCCTTCCCTCTCCTGATCTCCTCTTCAGCTTCTTGTTTACACTCTGTTGTCTCTCTCGGATATCCCTCACCTCTACCTCCCCCCCTCCCCTATCCATCATGCCCTCTCGTGCCTTGCACTAAACCTGACCAAATGAAGGACGGATGAGGAGGACGGAGAGGACGAGTCGGGCGCCTCCCGTGGCGGTGTGCACGATAACCTGTACCGCGTTCACATGCCCAGTCTCTACAGCTGTGGCTCCAGCTACGGTAGCGAAGCTAGCCTGCCCGCTACAGCCCACACTGTCAGCAATGCCCCCGTCACAGAATACATGTGAGTTAGCACCCACTGCTAGCGAGTGGCTAGCAGTACCAATACACTGCCTGATCCAAGTAGCTGATGCTTGCCCCCTGTTATCCAGACTTGCAGCATAGCCGTATGCACTGCCTGATATGATATATTATATTAGTGACATTTGAATAGTTTACTCTCTACGGCTCGCATGCCCATTGTGACACACCTGTCAGCAGTATTTGTTGCAGTGGTTTAGAATCCAGTCACTAGTTTTCTTTTTGATGCCGATAGAAACATAGTGGCTTCCTGCATCAGCCAAATCCCTTCACACCGAAAATATTTGCAATTATAAAATGCAAATACATACTTGCACTTGTATATGATGAGGTAATAATATCACCTGACTTGCTACGTGTTGTTGCCTCAGGATTGAGTTGCTTGCTCTAAATTCAACAAAAATATAGTGAAAAAGTAATACCGTTTGTCTTTTTTGTCAGTGCCTGCTACTCTTTGATTTAATGATGCACAATATGTTAACTGTGATGCATTAAATCAGAAAATAGGCAGAAGTTAAGAGCTAAAAGTGATTTAATGTTTAATTATTGGACCATTGTATAGACCATTGTGTTGTTAATGTTTCAGACCTTTAGCAAACAGGCTTGTGTAATGATCAATTTAGAAGACTTAGCAGTTTGTACTTCAGCAAGATAATCTCATCTGGATAATAGGAGAATAGTATGGAAATTAGGCTGAGATTGAGTATCTGACCAGCTTTACTTAATCAAAGCTCAGATATAATTGCATAGTTAAGGTGTATAGTGTAAGTTTTTTGCCATGATTAATTTGCAAGCTATCAAAAACGCAGACTGACATAATGATGGTAAATCAGCTCAGTAAAAATATATGATGTTGAATGTTAACTTTTAGCAAAAAGACCAAACTACGCAGAGGTGGTTACTTTCACAAGTTTCTTTCAAAACCAACCTGAATCAGAGCTTCAAATATGAATGAATTATGAACGAATTCTGGCTCTTTTTTTTAAAGCCATACGTGGTGTACGTTTCTGTAGCTTGAACAGTTTCAGGTTTTGTTTTTCAGGTTAGAAATGATTCACCCAGATTCTCCATGAATAAGTGGAACCATATTTTGCTTTTGTTTGTTTTTTCCAGACATTTACGACACCAGCCTGAGGTTTGTAGGTGTCTTACATTGATCAGTTGCTCTGTCGTAGAACAAGTAGCAGAAAATATGGAGATGCTTAAATGTGTCCCCTTGAATCCTTATACAGCTGCAAATGACCAAGACAGGCCTTTTTTTTATACACACCAGTTTTGCTGTGGCTCCACACACTGATAAGGTTTTACGGAGCTGCTGTCTCATCTTTAGATTAGTTTTCTTTTTTCTCATAGTGCTAAGTGGAAACCCCTCAGTTATGACTACTGTATTAATGAGGTCATTTATCAAAGGGCATTAGTCAGAGCCATGTAAACAGATCACACATCAGCAAACGTGGCAGAATGACCACATGCAGTAACCTCTTATTCTATAATGCAGGAGCCAGAACGCAAACTTTCAGAACCCTCGGTGTGAGAACACCCCCTTGATTGGCAGGGAGTCCCCTCCACCCTCTGTAAGTGCACACTTTCTAGAACACACTCTTCCCTCTGCTATCTTCCAATACCCATGATGCAGCTAGGGAAAACTTTTAAAACCCATAGAGAGACGCCGTTCTCTTATCTTGAGTAGTGATGAAAAGCACGGTGTGAATTATCGACCGTGCTGTTTCCAGTGTCTCCTGGCGTGCGATTTGTGGATGTTGGAAGATAGTCTCCCCTTATCCCTACACCACTGCAAGTGTCCTTTGTGCTCAAACTAGACAGTGATCGTGGGACGCCTTCACGAAGGTCATTTTGGCAGCCTGGGAAAGCCGGATGGTTGAAAAGAAGCCTGTTGTCTGCAGGATTGGCACTTGCATCAAAAGAGGAAGCTTCCTTGTGTTATTGTTGTGTCACGGTCGGCTCAAAGTTGGCCTCTATTTCTGATGTAAAGGGGTGTTTGGTTTCAGCGTTGCTGCCAGTGACGTGTGAGGAGAACATGCAGACTTCAAAATATGTACTTTTGCCGATGGCCAGCCAAAGAGATGTTGTGGTACTGCAAATCCATTTTTGAAAAGTCCAGATTTTTGTGGCATTTGAAAAGGTGCTGCTGGGCCTATAGATGCTGCTGCTCCATCAACTCACATCGAATGTGCACATTATGCATTACAATGCTGTGGACTGAAATTATTTGACAAATTTAGCATAATTGCCTCACAGTTACTTTAATATGTTTATATTTTTAAAAGAAAATGATAATAAGTAAAGTTCTTCCCCCAAGCAAACTTGAGCCCACACCTCTAAAAGCTCCTGCTCCCCCACCCCCCCCTCCTGTTCCAACACTGTGTCTATGTGTGCATCTTCTGGTCGAGATATATGTGTCTTCTGTTTCTGTGCCCCCTCACTTTTTACCATTGATGAAGCACAATAGCACTTATTTCCCACCTGCACTGAGGAATTTTAGCAGCAGGCAAAACGGCCACAACTTACTGTTCTTAGAGCGGTCCGCCGTCTGTGCCGAGCTGCTCTTCTGTGTCCTGTAGCCACGGGGAACCCAGAGACCTCCAGCTGTAACTACTTTTGATGCTCACACGAGACCACTAACTCATTCCAGGCTAACCTCCTACATCAGAAGTAGAGCACTAACTCTAAATGAACCACATCCGCTAATTTACAGTAACACCATCTCGTCCTAATCAGCTGTTAAATAATGAGTGAATGTTGTAATCGAACCCCGGCTGTCCAAATGACTGGTCACAGTAATTCTGCTGACATCTGTGTTTGTGTGCCGCCTGCCTACATCACCATTCTCTCTATCTATCTATCTATCTATCTATCTATCTATCTATCTATCTATCTATCTATCTATCTATCTATCTATCTATCTATCTATCTATCTATCTATCTATCTATCTATCTAT